CTGAAAAAAACATAGTGGAACCTTTCGGATTTCGCGAGTTTCAACGACCGGTGACGTCATTGGTGATGAATACCCGGAAACTAGTGCGACATTACGGTGCTTTCGAATTACAGCAGATCCTGAAAGGAAACAGTCTTCTTATCGTACATATCGTGCGACTCCAGGCACACTTTGATTTTCCATGGTCGACAAGCCTGCCACCGTTTAAACGTTGAATAGTGTGACGTGTAGAAGTTTCAAGTTCCAAGGAATAAGTTTGCATCGCAGCACTTCGCTCTTATTTCTCTTCTGCATTTAAAAGATACACCATTTTTAATTTGCTCGCGACATTTTAACTCCTGTTCCGAGGTCAAGAATTCTTCTTTCGAGAAAACTGTTCTTTGCATAAAATACCCTTCGTTGATCTTTTCTCGCCGATTTACAGAGGAACGTAGCCAGCTGTCGAAAGTGCGCGAACTTTTGAACACGTGATTCGTAAAAGAACCCTGGAGAACGTTAAGGTGTAGTGCGCGCCATCTTGTTCCCGTTGTGCAGTTCCAGAAGCATGTTGCTTTTTTTGGAGAGGTTGGAAATACGGTGTCTCGTTTCAACGACTAGATTGATTTTCTATTTTTAATCGATATTTTTAAACTACTACGTTTCTATTTCAATAGTTCCTGTATATTCTCTCTCGACTGTTTCTTCGCAAAAGGATGAACGTATCTGTACTTTTTTTTCCCTGAAAATTGATAACTATCGTTTCTCTGATCGTTCTCGTTTCTAGGTTTCACGTTTTAGTCAAATTATGTTCAATATCTGACGCATTCCATTCTGCCACTACTCTTTCCTCAGTCTCGTTCTTATTTTTCAAATTCTTACTTCATACGATTGGACTTAATGTTGGAGTTTCGAATATTTAACGATCTTTATTTTTATTCGTTAGTTTACTTTGTTTACTTCTTAAATAAAAATAACTCGATGAAATGGTTGTGGAAAAGTGAAGAGTAAACACTGAATATTACCAATGAATTACAAAAATTAAAGAGCTAGAAGTTGTATCGCAGTCTCCCTTTTTCTTTCTTCCCGTTACACAACATTCGGTTATATCATCGCATCACTTCCTACTGGTTATCGAAAAATACCGTTGTTACGCAATATACATAAAATTGCAATTTTCTAAACTTTTCCCTTCTACATAAACTTATTTAGTCTTGCATACGAAACGGAATTCACCGATTGATATTCCAGTGTCTCGTAGTTTTCAAAATTTTTCAATTGTATATGAGCACTTTGATAGGGGTACATGTATGTAGTTGGGAAAATCAATGAAAATAAATCTACTTGAGAAACACATAATTCCAGTTTACTGCATTTTAAACGAGAAGACTTTCGATAATTAATGCATTAAGTGATCCCTACGTGTATAACTAGAAATTGGCATCAGAGTTACTTCTAATTCTTCAATGTAACAAAAATCGAAACTGAAACTGTTAACAAAATTTGCATATTACACAATAAAATACAAGCATTGAAAACAAATTATTTTATTTACTATCAGTTGACGAATGCGGTATTTTATACTGGCATTGTAATCTTTCTTTTGAAAACCGTACAAATTTCCGCTAATCCTTAATTTAAATTTTACCCAAATTAATTTGTACGGTCTAACGAAAAATTTCTTAGATGTTTTACTACAATAGTGTAGACTGGTAAATATTTGAGGAAATTTGAGGAAAAATAATTCAAAGTAACATTATACATATTAATTTTATAATATATCTCTTCTCACATTTTGTTCACTTTGTAAAGTTTGCACTTCAATATGTTTGGTGCGACAATTCTTCGCCAACGACACAGCTTCTTTGAGTACAGTCACGCTGTTCCAAATACCGAGGAACGCGTTTCAGAAATAAAGAATCTTCTTGTTGGTGAATTTTTTGTCACTTTTGCACTCTGTTTGAGAATTTATAACGATCATTCTTGGAATTTCTTCCGAATAAATAAAGCAGAAAATAAGAAATCCCTTTTCGCAATTTCTAAGGTCCTAAACACCCTCATCTGGATTCATTCCTCGCGAAAAGTCTAGTTAAGAGAATAGGTTCTTGATGACGCAGTAGTAGACTAATAATAGTAGTATAATAGAGATGAAAGGGGGTGCAACAGCGAAACGATCTGCGTAAAACTAATAACAATGGATTGTTTGTAAAACAGGGCCGCCCAGATCGTGCCGCCAGAAGTAGTCCGTCCGCCGCCGAATTCTCCGAAGAACGAGAATAAGAGCGAAGAAACGAAGTAACTAGGAAGTTTCTTCCCACCGTGTGATACGTGGGAAAACGACGACGTAGAAGGCACGTAGACCTTCCTGGGAGCGAGAGGAGAACACGGTAGAGATTCAAAGCGTTTAAGTGAGCAAGAAATAACCGAAGATGCCGAAGCCGAAGGCACAGGAAGGAGATGATCCCGATCCAACCCCCTACCTCTTCGTCTCCCTCGAGCAGAAGAGAATCGATCAGACGAAACCATATGATGCGAAAAAGGCGTGCTGGGTACCCGATGAGAAAGAAGGCTATCTTCTTGGTGAAATCAAGGCAACCAAGGGTGATGTCGTTACCGTTGGATTACCTGGTGGCGAGGTAATTTACCTATCCTCCGATCCTCCTTTCCTACCTTCTCGTCTTTCAATCAAACACTGTTCAACTCTTTCTTCTCATTTATTCTTCTCTTCTCGAAATAATAAGAACACCTCAAATTGCCAACTTCACGGGGTTAAGCAGAAGAGAATTCACTTGCCTCCACGAAAGTTATGAAAAGATTGAAAATAACATTCTTGAACGACAACTGATAATTAATATTATCATTGTTATTAACGAATAGCTAGCTTCTAACTTCTTTCTTTTCCGTTTCAAATTTCGACCGAATCGAACTTTATACTTCAATGAAATTATGAATGGATCATAGGTAATTCGCGAATCATCGAAAAAGGAATTGAATAGTGTTTTCGTCTTTGTCGTATCTTTTATTCCCTGACTATAAATGGATAGAGTTGTAAGTACGCTACAGTGGAGTCTAACAGTAGCATCCCACTGTATAAAAAGAAAGCAAAATACCAGAGCTTCGTCGTATCAGACTGTTCAAACTCTATTTTTGGAGGAGGCAAAAACTGTTCTGTAGCTCTTAGTGCTTGCTATCATCTAACATTCCATTATCGAATTTACTTGTTCCTCTTATCGAACGACATAAAACTAAATAACAAGAGCAGCGCGCGTTGTATCTCACTTACAAATACTTCGAACGTTTTTAAAATTGAAGGATATTTACTAAAGACTGAGGTATACTTCGAAATGGAGCTACTTAGAAGCGTTCAAGATTGCGAAAATTGAATATGACTTTATATTTTTAGCATGTCCTCTTAATATGGATAAATATAATCTACAATCGCGAAGTAAATGAAATTCGAACCATCTAAACTGTCGCGCTTACTTTTCCGGAAATGTTAAGCGTGATGCATAAAGTTTGCTAAATTAACAATTTTTCGTCGATTTCAATGGAATTTTCACACATTATCTGAAGTTTCCGGGCAAAATATAAATAGAAAGAGACGCATCGCGCACATACGTCTCTCTTTCTTTCTCTTTCTCTCCCTGTGCTGCTTTTTCTCTGTATTTTTCGCGATTTCGATGGCAGCGGTTATTTTTACTCGGTGCGGGACATAGCGGTATACGAAATGCCACGGTTCTACATGCTGGATTACATAATGGTTCAGCAAACCCTGCCTTCTCTTCGTCAACCGATGCTGAAATGCTATTGTTAGCACCATCGCTACCATTGGTAATAATAAATTGAAACGTCACTTCACGAAACGCGGGTCGAAATATTTTTAGAACACCGAAAGGGAAACGGAGAGAAACGTACGCGTATGAATATACATATGTACATATATATGAAACAGTATCGGAAGATAGAAACGTGTACCAGGATTATCGATATAGTCAAGGAAAAGTAATATTTACGGATACGTTTTTATATCTTCAAATTCATACACCTTTTTACAAAAGCATTGGAGGTTTACTCAGAGAAACGTACACTGTGTACCGACGCTAGAAATATTTCGCCATTACCATTAGGCAAATTAATTATCGAAGGCGTTTGTAATATTTCAGCACGTTATTCACGATTTTCTATTAGGTTTGAAGAAATTGAAGCTTAATGTTAAACTACTTAATCGAATATTTCATTAATTACGAAATTGCAACTTCATACGTAAATTACTGAATCCTTTTATTGAAGTTACGCGAGTTTCACGTTGAGTTTCAACTGTAACAAAAATACTTGATTATTGCTGCGACTGATCTTAAGGAGAAGAATGTCACATCGTAGAAAATTTTTAACAAGGAGCAAAAATTTGAAGATATAAACGTCTTGTTTGATAAATATCGCGTTACACGATAAGACAGTGTAGAATGAAATATGTAAAAAAGAATACTCGCGCAGACAAAACAATTCCGCAAGGACCAGCTGTCCCAAGTGAATCCTCCGAAATATGAGAAAACCGAGGATATGGCTGATTTAACATTCCTGAACGAAGCGTCTGTGTTGCACAACTTGAAACAGCGTTACTACAGCAACTTGATTTACGTAAGTTCCATTTTTTTTCACTATCATTAATACGAATTTCTTTTTTCCACCGAAATAGACGAAGGACTTCAAAAAGGATCAGCTTCAACAAGTAAACCCACCGAAATATGAGAAATGCGAGGATATGTCAAATTTAACCTACCTCAACGATGCTTCGGTTCTCCACAATTTGAAACAACGTTACTACGCCAAACTTATCTACGTAAGACTATTTCATCCTAGGAGGGTTGTCCTCCTTGGTGATTCCCTCGGCATCGTTTCCACGTTTCTAATTGTTTTCTTTCTACCTCCACCCTCCGCAAAACGGGAACGTTTGTTGGCCATTGGCATGGGAAACGTTGGATAAAGCACTGGAACGTGCCACCACGTTTTTCTCGAACTTTTCTTCATCTCAGAATTGTCACACACCATAAACTATGATTCGAATGAAATTGCATGTTTTGTGCAAACTCGAGACATCAATCAAAGGTATTTTGACGAACCGCAATGTCTCCATTATCCATGGCGTTATGGACAATCATGGACCTTTGAGTCCTGAGGAATTTTTCACTCTCAGATGCATGAACACCTTGATGATTCAAAAACGTCGGCTCAGAAAACACTTGTACGTGCACCGACGTATCATTCTTTTGTCTGAATCGCTTTTCCTGTGTTTTTTCCAAGAAAGTTACGAAAAAAAATTGAATCTTCGTTGTCACTTCTTCGACGTCGTTTTCGCTGTACAAAAAGATAAAACAAACCTGTATACGCGACCAAGTTCTCGTCTCAAGACACGAGATTCTTTCTCGTGAAGAATGCATTGTTTATGTTTGCATTTGTAGTACTGATTTTGCACTAATATGTACGTACATTCGTATGTACATATGTAAGTTTTCAATTGAAAACCAGTGTTGCCCAATTTCTTTAAACCTGCCAAATTGTTTTACGTACAGTTATTAGGTTTAAAATATGCATTAACTTTGTAACGAATGTAACGCAACGTCTGATTGCGTTAAATTACAAAAGAAGCCTATAATTTGTTAGATATCACTGATTTTCGGTTTATGTAAAGTACGGTTTCTGCTCGTCTTACGTCTGTATTGTCGCTTGTAACTTTACTATATCAGTTAACTTCGAGATTGTGAAAGAAATACCGACGAGTAGAAATCATCGGTGAATGTTCCTTTTCATCGTGTATTATACATATATTCATGACCACATTACTGCATTGTACAATATCATTAAGTGATCACATACAAATCTCTTCTTTTCTTTTTTTGAAATTTGTGTTTTCGTGTTTCAATGAATCTCGTTAGTCCGAAACTTTCTTATAGCATGTTCGATTGTTGATTTCAGACCTACTCTGGCCTTTTCTGCGTAGCTATTAATCCCTACAAAAGATTCCCCGTATACACCCAAAGGTGCGCGAAACTTTATCGAGGCAAGAGGCGTAATGAAGTGCCACCACACATTTTCGCCATTTCTGATGGAGCATACGTCAATATGTTAACCAGTAAGTACATTATCGCTACAATAATAATGACACTGGTACTGCGTGCCATAGAAAAAAGAATATATTGCTATTCGAGAAGAAATTTTCCTATTTTCAAATAATCACTTGAATAGGCATGGGTGAATAGGCTGTTCTTATGCCTCAAAAAGTTTGGCGATATTTCAGAAATCCCTTACAGTAAAAACCAAAAAGTTAGTGTTTCTTCAAAAAATTAAGAAACTTTTATAATTTTAATAGATGAATCGATATATAACAGACAGCAATACTACATCAAAATTTCTAATTATAAAAACTTAAATGTATAGTAAAAAATATTAACGCTAACTAAATGCATTAAAATTTATAACAATCAGAAAAGGGAATACATTCGAAAGAATACTACTCTTCCCCATACTATTGCCCATACCTGGATTAGAAGAATAAAATTCAGAATGTGCAAGAGATAAATTGTTGTCAATTTCCGTTCTATTTTTCTGGAATAGAGTATCCCGCAGGTAATAACGCTTTGCGTGTGTATTTATTTCTTAACAGACAGTGAAAATCAATCCATGTTGATCACCGGTGAATCTGGTGCCGGAAAGACTGAGAACACGAAGAAAGTAATTGCGTACTTCGCTACTGTCGGTGCCTCGACCAAGAAAGCTGACGATGCGACCCAAAAGAAAGGTTCTCTAGAAGATCAAGTCGTACAAACCAATCCGGTACTGGAGGCGTTCGGTAATGCCAAGACCGTCCGTAACGACAACTCCTCCCGTTTCGTAAGTTCTTCTTTCTTCTTCCAGTCGGATTTACTTCATTCCACTTACACATGTACTATAACCGTATTCTAGTATTACTACAAATTTTCAATGATTTTCTTATAGAATGAATGAACTTTTCGTGTCAACTCTTCCATTATTATTTTACATTTGATATTCGTAAAATAAGTAACGCATAAAAATAACAGTGCACATTCTCGTCAGATACCTTTAGGCGTTGATAGCAGTCGAAGAGTTAAAACTAGATTCTAATGCATCTAACTGTTTCTAGAATTGTACTTATCGTTCGCTATTTGTCGAATACGTTCTAATTGAAAACTAAGCACAAACGAATTTATCCCTTGTTGTTTATTGAATAGGGTAAATTCATCCGTATTCACTTTGGTCCCTCTGGAAAACTGGCTGGTGCCGATATCGAGACCTGTAAGTTTGTATTTAACAATTCTACTAAATATTTTCTGCAGATTCTCACGATTCAAACTATAGACTTCGATATATATTCTTTCACTGTACACATATAAACAGATCAATTTAGAAAAACACATAGCTGACTTGAATCCGTCGTTGCTCCTTTTTATAACACGTTCGTTAGACGTACGTTTGATTTTATTTCACATCCTTTTGCGTCATAGATACCAAGTTTAATTAAGCAACAATTGCATCAGAGCATTGATTGCTATTCGTGTGTGATGTTGAAATAACGGAAGTTTCGCATGATTTGTCGCACTTGTATTTTTTCTAAAATAGATTTATTCTCTTGTACGTAGATCTGCTGGAGAAGGCTCGTGTCATTTCTCAACAGGCTTTGGAGCGTTCCTACCACATTTTCTACCAAATGATGTCGGGTTCGGTTAAGGGTTTGAAGGGTAAGACCATTCAGTTCGTAACTTAGAAATTACTCGATAACAGAAGAAACAAATTGCGCACAATATAGTAGCACACGATGATACATTTTTAAACAGTGATTTATCCTGTGAGTCGAAGGTTATCTTCGAGACCAAAGAAACAGTCATCGTCGATTTCGATTCTCAGTATTTTCCTTTTTGTTTCCGGCATATTTTAGTAGAACAATCCGATTAGGAAGCTTAGAACATTACGAAAAGCGAGAAATTGAATTTTCAGTTTATTTTCCAGAAGCTAAAGAAGCACCGATTTATCAAACGCGCCTAAATTAGTATTACGTTTTCGATATCGTTGATAGGTAAGAACATTTTCAAAAGAACCTCGAACTCTTCCTGTCCCTTCCTACCATTTTCACATTTACAAATAAGAAGACTTAACACTAGGAAGCAGGAAACATGTCAGATTGCAGCAGAAATGACTTCTGAGCAGTTTAATCTGTTGACGCACGACACCGCATATCAACTGTTGTGGAGCCACCTTGTCCATGTTGTCAAATTTCATACTTGTTTGATCCTCGTTCTATATAGAAATGTGCTGCCTCTCGGACAACGTCACCGATTACTACTTCGTCTCTCAGGGCAAGACCACGATTCCGAATGTTGACGACGGCGAGGAGTGTACTTTGACCGACGTAAGAACCTGACGATCATGCCAGGGCTACGCATCTGTTACCTGTCTCCTCTTTCTTCCTACCCCTTGCTATACCCGCCGCCAATACTTTTTTATAGCTTCTTTTGTTGTTATGACTTGTTCGATTTTCTACATTCCTTCCTCTTGAGTTTCTTTGACTGTTCGCCGTTTGTAGAAGTAGGATGGACAGTGTTTAGTTGAAATGTTTCCCGGGGGAAAGAGAAATACCAAGGTTGCGTTTCGTTTAATTCACCTCTAGATTTTGAAAATTTATTTCCCAAATGAAATTGTTAACAGCGACCTTTGTACTTTTCTCGAATAGTAGAACCTGTGTTACTTTTAATAAGGACCTCTTTAACTACAACACTTCTCTAAATCTGTAGTTAAATATCCTACAGGAGAGATTAAAAAAAAAAGAAAGAGGTGCTAAACGAAGAAACGGTATTTCAGACAACTATACCGCACCTTATCCCTAATACTGTGATTAATGGAAATCCTCATTAGATAAAACCATATTCCTGAATTGTCAAACCATTTCTATTCAAGAGAATAATCAAAATTTGTTGTACGTGTAACTGAACACTTTTATTATTTCTTTTTATGTACGAGACATTTCAGGAAGTGTGTTTTCCGAGACAACTTTTGTAGTACAAGTTGCTCAACTTTAACCTTCCAATGATTTACTAGGCGATTTTTTCTACAAAATCGTCCTCTTCCAAGGGGAGTTGACATACGAACGAGTCCTTGTAGATACATTCCGAAGGAAAGCCACCAGGAAACATGGCACCCTCATTTGTGGTTAATACCTGCATGTTTTTTTTGTTTTCTTCTTGGTCCACTGTAGAAATGTTGCTGCTGAGCAACAACGTCCATGACTACTACTTTGTATCGCAAGGCAAGACGACTATCCCTGGCCTCGATGACGGCGAGGAACTTTTAATTACCGATGTAAGTGTGCTTCCTTTCGACCGGTCAAGCACTCTTCTCTGGAATATTCGAGATTGAATCATTCGTGCAAATATCGTTACAGTGAAAATGGGAGAAGTTCAATTTCTTATATTTCGCATCTTGAATATAAGTGATTCCATCTTGAAAATTCCTAACGATTTCCTCTTTATGTCACTTTATGTACCTTACTGCCTATCTGTTCTTTCTAGCGAAATGAGGCACTCTTCAAGCTTCTTATTGTTATTGTTTTTGGTTTTAGTAATACTTTAGTGATACTTGTGCTGAGATTTATCACTGTTTGCCGTATATTCTCTCTCTCTCTCTCTCTCTCTCTTTCACTCTTTCTCTCTTTCTCTTCATCTATTTATTTCAGCTCATCGATGCGCATCATTTTTTATTAAAAGTGTAACAAATTCATATTCTTTTTAACAGCATATACAATAATGTTAGCAGCAAGAACGGCCACAACAGAAGACTTATCGTTTTCGCTTCTAATTCTTTAATCTGTATTCTCTTCTTTATTTCTCTTTCTCATTGTTCTTACTCCTTTCCATCTCTCTCTCTCTCTCTCTCTCTCTCTTTCACACTGTCTTATCTTTCTTTTCTCTTTCCTCTCTATTGCTCTTCTTCTTTCAGCCTCTTCTTCTTTCAGCCTGTCGCAAATCATTTGGCACGCGTCCATTTTTTCCTCTTTCGCGCGCATCTTGCAATCGCTCGCGAATACCTTGCAATAATGTTCAACATTACGATTGCCGTTCGGTATAATTAAAACGAAGGATAGATAATGTTTGAATAGAAGTAACAACGTTAGAGATTAGTCCTGATGATGAAGTGGAATTATAAAAGTGCAAGGTGTGATCGAGGGCGATTGCAAGTAGTAGCGTCGCAATGATACAACGCTCGTAAAGCAGACAGCTTGAAAATTGAACAAAATAATGCAGAATTAACCCTGCTGAGCAACCGGATCGGGGACTATTGGTACATTAGCCAGGGTAAGACCAGAATTCCGGGAGTCAACGACGCCGCGGACATGGAAGAAACGGACGTAAGTCCAACCCCAGGGTGCAGGAAAAATTTCGGTAAACTTTCCATCACCTTGCCAAGATTTAACAGGAATAATTGAATTTCGTATTCCTCGAGTCAGATCGTTGTTTGTTTCTTTTTAGTAAAATGGATAGAGTTCAAGGTGGTAGTAAAGTTGGGCCGAGGTTTTCGTCACCCTTTTTTTGCCGCAATCGGGGCGCGGGGAGATTGGGGGAGGAAAGAAATTCTTTCATTCGAAATATTTTCACTCGAACTAGAGAAAATCGAACCCCCAGGGTACCCGCTCCCCGATCAGCTCCGACTCACTTTTCTCTCCTATTGCGCCAATATCGCTCTACTGCAGCATCCGGACAGCAACAACAACAACCGGAAATAGTAATTGCTTCTGATCGATAAGGAATTCATTCGTCTGCAGTGTGTTTCTCATAGGAGATAGAATCAGTTCGAAGATCAACGAATGCTCTTCGTTTTCCTAACTATTAAAAGAAACAGAAAAAGGTCGATCTTCGACGTTTCAGTTTTAGTAATACCGATTACGAAGACAAATAACAGTGTACGAAATCCAGCGTTCTAGATTCGGCAATCGGCTCACCGAAAGACTTTCTTTTTAAGAGAAATCATCATCGAGTAAAGCAATACATGATATAAAGGAAATATTTGTTTAGGACCTGCGACTACCGAGTAATTTTCAGATTCAGACTAGCTTAAACTATAATTTGTTTTCTTCGAAATGCTTCACAGACATGTGTTTCTTGTCCAACAACATATACGACTATACCAACGTGTCTCAAGGAAAAATCACGATCCCGAACGTCGACGACGGCGAGGAATGTCTGCTGACGGACGTAAGTCCCTTGAAAATGGATTCGCGAACCCATTATGTTTTCTACGTACTTCCGTACGAACTTCCATTGTTCCATATATTCTTTGTCATGAACTTTGTCCCTTTCTCTGTAAATATTACAGTGAATAACTATACGTACTTGAATTTCTATAGAATTTTCCTCTTTTTCATGTGGATAAAGACGACAAATAGTAACGAATTCAATTCGATCTATATTGCAACAGTTTAATTAAACTGTTTATATATAGTTTCATGAAATTTTTCTAATTTCTCTAAACATTGTTTTGCCGATTGAAACTTCGTAAGATTTCGTATTCAGATTATTGTTAGAATACATCAAAAGGGCTTTTGCTTAAATATCGAAATTTCGAAATCTTTCGTTACTATTCACCATTGGGACTCCATGTACATAAACGTTGATCCCCCCCTTTACGTCTTTTCTACAATTGTTTACGCGAATCCAGTTTTTAACCCGGCCGTATGTATGAAACGTGGACAATCGTTTGTTCCTTATTACTTCAGCAGCAATGAAGTTGCTTCAAAGACGATTGTTTCATTGATACACTTGTATGAACCCGTTAGAAATGATACCCAAACATCGTATTGTTTCTTTGTACAGTGCCCTTCTAAATATTGTGACGATGACAAATGAAAATTCCCATAGTAGTTTGTTCACCTGTAATCCTGATAGACGTAGCAGTTCCAATCCTGTTGATAACTTGTTGAAAAAGAGACGCTGCCTCGAGATGGAAATTCTCGACGGTTGGAGAAGACGTCGGTGACGGACCTCAGTGTAGCGGTTCGTTTCCGACTTCAGCCTCGAAGCAAAGCCGAAATCGAAGTGGGTAATAACTCCGGACCTGAACAAATTGAATCTCTTCAGGAACCTTCTCCCAAAAGGATGTGTCATAAAATCGAACGTGAATCCTTGTTTTTCGTGCTACGAAGGAGGCAATTCGCAAGTGTGCAAACCGAGCGATCGAAACCGAAAGAGACATTGATCCTCCTTCGTGATCTTCTTCAACTTTTTCTCTCTTTTATCTATTTTTTCTCTTTTCACCTCAGTTTCACGGAGTTTCTGATTTTTTGTCCGGTACGAAACAGTAAGCTTAGGTAGAAGTGACTACATAATACAAGCTCTGCTTCTGCTTTTTCATTTCCTTTTTTGGTTTAAATCCAAGCTTCTTTGATCAATTTTCATCGGCTTTGCATAAAACAACAATATTGCTTACAGCATAAAGAACATCATATACATTTGCTATCGATGGTAATCATACTTTCGCAGAAATGTTCCCTGCCATTCTCTCAGATTAGTAATATCTCTAGAGAAGCCGTCCAGTAAAACCTCCACCTTCACGCTTTATTTCTGTCGTTATTTCTACCGTCCTTGTGTGTTTTCACTAACAATAATTCATTATTTTTCTACCAACAAAAGCTGTATTACCGTATCAGAAGTATCGTATTAGAATTTTCATACGAAACCGATGCACCGCGTTAACGTCAAATGCACAAGTTCATCGTGTTTTGTCGACTTCTGATACGACATTATACGTAACAATTTTTAATTATTCCTTTTTAACGACAGCAAGCCTTTGACGTACTGGGCTTTACCCAAGAGGAGAAGAACGACATCTACAAGATCACCGCAGCTGTCATGCACATGGGTGGCATGAAATTCAAGCAAAGGGGTCGTGAAGAACAGGCTGAAGCCGATGGCACAGAGGTACTTATCCTGTTCATTATTTACTACTACCTAGTCAACTGTCAAAGATAATGAACATTATCCTATTATCCTCATTTTAGCCTATTAAATTTAGCCCAATTATGGCGTTTGTTTCGTGGATTTGTTATTTATTTAAAAGCAAAGTACAGTTCAGTCTTGGAAATAATCTTCATCACTTTCTATACATTTATTCCATTTCTCAGGCAGTTGGCGAATTCCCTTTCGAAAAAATGATGGCGGTTTCGAACGTATAATATCAGCAATTCTATTATTGACATCTTCGTATGTTTGGAATTTTGAATCGGTTAGATGGTGCTGAAGCGAAAGAAAGGGATAACAGTCTGAGGAATAAGCCGCAGGAGGCAGAATTTCCCATCCCAAAGACCTTTCGCTTCAAGAGCACATTTTTTTAAGTTGAAATGCAAAAAGGATGCAGTGTCTAATATGCTGTTTATGTCATTAGTCACATCGAGTCCGATAGTGTTTTGTTTTGCTAATAGAAGCAACTTCAGAACTCTAACTAAAGGGAATTGTTACAGCTGATTAATCGCAAGGGCCACGAATTGATTTGTACACCCAATATAATACGTAATTTTTCATGATTTTCACTTTCCCAATTCATTACTAAGCACACAAAATTTCGTGCAAAATGATAGAGTAACTTTGTTCCCTCTTTTGCCGTTCATTCAGAATTAATCACGAGGAAATCTTTTATCTCGTAGGATGGTGAACGTGTCGCTAAACTGCTTGGTACCGACTGTGCCGACCTTTACAAGAACTTGTTGAAACCAAGAATTAAGGTCGGTAACGAGTTCGTAACGCAAGGTCGTAACAAGGATCAAGTAGCGTACTCCGTGGGTGCTATGTCGAAAGCCATGTTCGACAGGCTGTTCAAGTGGCTGGTGAAGAAATGTAACGAAACATTGGACACGCAACAAAAGAGGCAACATTTCATTGGTGTACTGGATATTGCTGGTTTTGAGATCTTCGACGTAAGTTTCTTTCAGTGCATAACATACACATGATATACACTCTATCTAGTACAAATATTCTCGTTGACGATTTCCTAAAGTCTACTTGAAATTTTTCTTACACAAATACACCTATACACGAGTACATATGTATGAAGAGACATTCCATTTATTGAACACTTACCATATAGATATATGCACACGAATAATCGTCAACATAATTTGTTACTAGCTCTGAAAGTAACAGACTGTTTATTTCGACATACTTTCAGCACTATACTGTCACATTAACAGCAAATGTTTCATTGATTGTGAAACTTTACCAGTGTTTTCAGTGACATAGTAATTACGATAAACCGTCACACAGTCAATCGAATCATCTGCTGTGCAATGTGATAAAAAGACAATTATTTCCAAAAGCAGAGTTGACAATCAACTATAGAATACATAAATTCTTATCTCTACACTTAACAAACGCAAAGTATTTCTTCAATTCTAAAGGGAAAAAAGACTACGTGTCGCGTGTTCAGAAATTTCATCCCGCAATGCGTTTGCCGAATCGCTTGAAAATTAGTTTCTGCCTTTGATTTGCAAAATCTCCGGTCACTTCTGAAATATCCTACATTTCATTTCGTTCTTCAGTATAACGGTTTCGAGCAACTGTGTATCAACTTTACCAATGAGAAACTACAACAGTTTTTCAACCATCACATGTTTGTACTTGAGCAAGAGGAATATAAGAAAGAGGGTATCGTCTGGCAATTTATTGACTTCGGAATGGACTTGGCTGCCTGTATCGAACTAATCGAGAAGGTAGCCCCGTGTAAAAGTCTTAGAAATTTTGGTTTCTCTGATTATGTCTTTGCTATAGATTATCCCCCGTGTTGTGTTCTCTTTTTGCAATGGACTTGATTTTATGTAAGAAATTCGTTCAGAATATTCTCCCCTGATCTCATTAGGAGATTTCAACTTGGTGTCATCCCATTTAGAAATGTGTTGTTTCCGAACATCCCCGTTCAAAATTGTTTAAACGTTGTGTGCATATTTTTCTCTAGATGAAATCTTTAATATTTGTAAATACATTTTGTTTGTGATCGTTTTTTAATAGTTACTTCGAGCTCGTTTTTTGGCGATTTTCAACTTGGAATTCGTCATGCACAGAGAATAGTACTCACGTTTTATAATGTTCCCTTCAATTGTGTACTAGTTCCTAATATTATTAATTCACGTGGATGTATACCCTTATTCTTCTACGACAGCTAACATCCTCAAATGAATCGTCTCTTGGTGTTATTAGTTTCCCCTCGAACTGTTTCCTTGAAGTTTCTTCTGGCACGTTTATCGTGTAATCAGCATCTCCGTGTATTATTGAAAAAATGCATGTATGTACATAGGTACAAAATTTTGGAATTTTTCGATAGAAGAAATGTTTACACGTAAAGCATGATCGCCCCTTTGGTCTACTCATAATACCGAGCACTTCGTGATAGCATGATTGTAATATACACATAGGTCACAGAGATACTGGTATTTTTATGTAAAAGACACTGGTAAGCAACAATTGAACTTTCGACGGATGTCGTCATTGTTGTCCTCGTTATTTTATCCTTGTCTGATCGTTTTTCTCAGCGTCGTCATCATACTTTCGTCGTAAGCAGTAAAAACAGTGGACTTCACGCTAAGTAGATTGTAATTCTTGATTAATGGTAATTGATTAACATTTTGAAAGTATGTATGGTAGATATTTAACTGTCCATCGAGGAACAGGACGGTGTATTCGTCTGAAAAATCGTCTGAAGGTAGTTTGTTGCCAGTAGTATTTGAAAGTAGACTAATACATATATTGAAAGTTTAGTCGTGAAAAATGTTAGACGAAAGCGATTACGAAGGAAAAGTGTATGAAAACACATACGTACGAAACAATGAAAAGGTCGTATTACGCTTTTCTCTAACAAACAGTAGTGTTTTGAAATTCCTTTGTATTTAGATTCAAATATCTGCAACAGCAATCGAACAATAATTTAGAACGTAATATTCGGGAAATACGAATTTTCCAAAATGTTATTATACCTACGTGAAATACTGTCGGGAAAGTTAAATCTCGTAGTAAAGTATCGAATGAAAGTTTCTCTTTTTGAGCATTGAAATTACAAATCGTACAAACAAATTCATTTGTTTAATCACGAGTGCAAATATTTGAATGTATTGCCCAACTCAGTACTTCTTCCGTAAATAACACCACCAAATAGAATTTGTAAATTATTTCTTATGAATTCAAGGAGTCACTTTTGAGACAAAGTGTTTGCGACAAACCTACTTATATGTCAAGCAGGTCAATTGAGAAATTAATATGCGTATAGATCGGGACAATGAAATTTCAATTATTCGATCGATAAACTTGATGAAATAATTTTTGATTACACGGCGACGTAATTTTCACGTGTATCGAGTTGTCAGTTTGAATAATTGATCGGTTGACCTGTCAAACTATTGACATCTGATTGATTGACCTACCCAATTGATCACCGTCGCAATCAAGACTGTTTAGAAACGAGGGTAAAGCTTATGGTAGTAATGCATTAAGTAACGTCCAAAAATACAGAGACAGAGAAACATGATACAGTTGTATACACAGACGAAAAAGCATGCCTGATTGTTGCTCGAACAGTTCAACAGCTTCGAGCAGCTCTGCATCAACTTCACCAATGAGAAGCTCCAACAGTTCTTCAATCATCACATGTTCGTCCTTGAACAAGAAGAATATACGAAGGAGGGCATTCAGTGGGAGTTCATAGACTTTGGCATGGACCTCCTCGCATGTATTGAACTGATCGAGAAGGTACAAAAAGTCGATTGAATCGATCGAATGGCAACGGACAAGTGACGGATCCAGCCATAAAAACAAATGAACAGAACATGAGAATGCAACATAAGGGTTCATGAAAAGACCAGTTGGATCCTTAGTATAACGCAAAACTTAACGCTTCTTACAACAATTGCAATAGTGATCGTCCACTGTTTTCTTGAATTGGTCGTAAACACTATTCGTGATCTTTTCCCCCTTTTGTATTGTTCTTTGTTCAGTCGTGTGATTTCTCGTTTCAGTGAAAAGCAAGTAATCTTTCTTCTCGCTTAGGCATTTTACGTCACTTCTCATTTTATTCCACCTTAAATCCCGTAATATTTTAAATCGTTAATCACGTGTATATTTTTTTTTTTTTGTTTTTATTGGAACTGCAAACTGTGTCCATTAGACATTCCCTTTTATACGTGCGGTGCGCTGTTTTTTCCAGCAGAAAAGAAAAGAATTTATATTTTTTCTTTCGAGGAAGATAATTACTGATAGAAAACTTCTGACTTGAGAAAAATATTGCAGATCAATATTTTATATAAGAGGATACACTTGATTTCGCGAAATTCGTTGTTTATTTTTGAAAGACTATTTTTTCTTATTTTGTCTTATTTATATTGTTTTCATAATCCGTTGAACCACAAGACGATGTTAATTCTGAAATTGACACGGGATTTTGTGTTTTACAGTCGCTATCAAAAACCTTGATACAATTTTAAATCATTTCTAGAAAATGATGAATTCACTTCATTACCTTTAAACTTCTTGATTATTTTGCACTTTGACACAGAAACAACGAAACAATCGTATAATTAAGCACACTTGTATCCTCACGAATAAGAACACTCCTTTCATGCACGGAGTTCAATATATTTACATTTATGGACAGAAAGTATCAAATGAAATGAAGTTCGATTTTAGTACCTCCTGCATGAAATAAAACGCCTTTGAAGCTTTCAGAGATAAAATTCTAACTAAATCCAACATGTGGAACAACGTTGGTCGTATACGTTGATATTTAAATTCAGTATGTTGCAAGAAAATGAACGAAAGGAAATTTATCGTACAATTAATAGATTTATTTAGTCCAATTTCAATTCATAGATTAATAGGATATACGGAAACTTTTACGAATATTAGTAGAGAATTAGTTAGAAATGATCGTTATTTGCAATGAATTCCTTTGCAGAGAATATCAACAGTTACATTAGTATTTTATAATAAATAATCCATACTGTATAATACACTATAATTTTTTAACAATGTAAGCAATAAGATATGCAAAGATAAGGGAATTACTTCTTTTCTGTATCCTAATGGAACTCTAGCGTAACGTAGGACAGTTTCTCTTCGTAAATAGGTCAATGAAAGCTACAAAGGCGGAAAACAAGAATTAGGTCAGGAAATTTCATTGTAAACAATTGGTCTTACTCTACTGATTGTTCTTTTTTCTCCCTTTGTTTTTTCTGCCCCCCTTCTCGCTCTCTCGCTCTCTCGCTCCGTATCTCCTACTCCCTTTTGTCACTCTTGGTCCTATTTCATTCGTCACGCTGTGTCACACGCTACTCTCTGCGCGCGTTGTGCTGTAAATGCAACAGTACAACGGCTTTGAGCAGCTCTGCATCAACTTCACCAACGAGAAACTGCAACAATTCTTCAATCACCATATGTTCGTACTCGAACAAGAGGAGTACAAGAAAGAAGGCATCGACTGGGAGTTCATCGATTTCGGCATGGACTTGGCTGCTTGTATCGAACTGATCGAGAAGGTATTCTCATAATTTTCTCAGAGAAAGGAAACAAAGAAACCTAAGAATGGAAATGAAAAAAAAATTGGAGAAGAAACCAACGAGTCCTGACTGATGGAGACAACTATCGGTGTTTGCCGAGAGCTTTTGATTGAAAAAGGAATCAGAACCCTTTGATTGGTCGTCAGTGTTATAGTAGTAGATTGGTCCACATTTGATTCACGCTTATAAACAGTTGGACGCTTGTTTCATTTTTGTATTGTACTTCTGGACATTTCTTTATTTTTATTCGTGTTCTTGCTACAACCACTGGGAACAAAGGTACTCGATACGTCTACCTTCTTGCTCTTCGTTTCACTTCACCTTGCTTTACCTTGTCTCATTTGTTTCTCTCTATTCACCCATGTAACGGCACCGATGTCGTGCCGCTTGTCGACCCCTACCTTTCGTATCGACAAAGATCGTCGACTGTGAAGGACAAGATTTCTAGGACACGGTTCGTGATTGTTATTCGTATATCATAGTACGGAACTTCTGTAGATAAAATTGTTTAATTAAGCGGACGGATGAATAAACGAAAAAGTTTTGTAACATTTGTTAACGAACCGAGCTCGAACAGGATACTACGATAGTATCGAATATCGTTATTACTTGAAATCAGTGCTAGTCCTTAAAATTTATTACGAAGCCAAAGTTGATCGATGCGTAATCGATGAACTTTGCGTTCTTTTATAATTACTATCGATTAATCAATTCACATTTATAAACTTATACCATCTTACATGATCCTTCATAGGCTCACTTCGAATCTGAGTTGCAAAAAGAAAGCAGCATACTTGTTGGTTTCCTGCATTGAGGAATTGATGAAGGAATAATAATGGAACTACCAATTATAGAAAATATTCAGTTTCGAAATGAGTCAAATAAGTTACAAAACATAATGTATAACTTATGTTGTGCTTATACAACCCCCCTTATGTGTCTGTATTCCGTTCCTATGAAAAGACAAAGAAACGGTCAATAAGGAACCCCCGTTGACAATTTATAGTATAAGCAGCATTAATGACAGCTGTCTTATACCTCTGTTTTCTGTTCCGTTGCTTTTCCCTTCCTTGGCCTCGAGCAGTTCAACAGCTTTGAGCAACTTTGCATCAACTTCACCAACGAAAAACTTCAACAATTCTTCAATCACCACATGTTCATTCTCGAACAAGAAGAATACAAACGTGAAGGAATCGAGTGGACTTTCATTGACTTTGGCATGGATCTTCAACAAACGATTGATCTGCTTGAGAAGGTATTGTTACGTCGTCATATGAAAGACCAGGAACGAAAGGTCGACAGATTCGAACGCTCGATCCCTGCAAATGAAACTATAGTCGCGGAGGGAACAACATTTCGCAATTGAACAAAGATCTTATCAGCATGCAAATATGATCAGCTGCTCTCGTTTATTGCTCCGTTCAAACTAACCCTTCTCACAGGTTCATTCGTCTCATACTGCAACATTACTCTTTCATACGCTTGTTCGTTCACTACTTATTGGTATCTAGGTGTCTCGTCAAGTTCCAAGGAGATCCATTAAACACACGAACAACAGAAACTAGACGAGTCACCTTGTTTCTTTGCATGCTTATTATGAAGATCATTCGAACGTTCATTTCGTGAACGAATAACCGCAGCGTAACAATTTCATTGTCACACGTTGCTTTTCCAACAAGAAAATTGCGACGTAAAAGGTACTATCGAATTTGACTTTAGACTTGTAGAAAACGACCAACTGGATATAAAGGTAAAAACATGGATACGTGATCGTGTTATTGATCAAGGACAACGACGAACACCAAAACTATAACCGGACAATTGATGCTTGCAAGCTTTCCTTGTTTTTCGTGTTACGCCAGCATGTATGTGTGTTCATAATTGTGTGATTTTATCGGTAAGTAAACAATATTACATTAACCATGTGAAATTTTTGATCGATCTTCAAAATGTAGCAGATATAATTCAATTGTAATATCACCGACTCGACGAAACTCTCGATAACATACAGCGAAGTGCAAATTTGCGAAGATCTATCGATCAATTTCCATTGTATTATTTTACGATAAATATTTTCAGAACGATGTATTATTTGTCATTCACTATCAGAGAGTGCGACTTTACTACACGTTACGATAATAATCGAGAGTACCGCTGTTTTAAACGTAGACTGATCTAACTAATCGATTAACTTTCGTGAAAACGTAACGTGATGACAATTGTAGAGACAGTATTTCGATTGATGTGCACTGAAAATGAAAATTTTGACAAGAATCACTTCGACGTAATGCCTGTTTAAAAGTTGTCCACAAAGAAATTCCGTATTACGTGTAATTTATTTTCGAAATGACTATTTTCCTATCGTTCGATCATCAATAAGTTACGTTTCCAAAGACACCGTCACTCTCGAAAATTCTGTTAGGATAACATGTACAAAGGCTAACACTTGTATTATTGCGTTTGAACACAGCCTATGGGTATTCTGTCCATTCTTGAAGAAGAGTCTATGTTCCCGAAAGCCACCGACAAGACATTCGAGGAGAAATTGAACAATAATCACCTTGGTAAAAGCCCTAACTACTTGAAACCCAAACCACCGAAACCAGGCCAGCAAGCAGCTCACTTCGCTATCGGCCATTATGCCGGAAACGTACGTTACTTTTCATTCTTACTCTTACTTAATTACAACGATATCTGTTTCATTTTATCAGTGTTGTAGATAAAAGGAATTACACATCGATGACAAGTTTCTTTGTGTAACCATTTATTGGATTGTCAGGAAAACCCGTGTCAATTTTCGAGTAAACGAGTAAATTCCATATTTTACAGCAACAATTTCTTTGTTCTGTAAGATATGTACAGTTTTGTTCTGCATCTTTTCGCTGTATTTCCGGTCACTTCAAAATTCCATTGTGCCGAAAACTTTGTTTTTTTTTTTTAATATTCTTCAAGATCGAAATTTCTCTCTCTAAAGCAAGCCATCTGCGAACAATTTTTCTGATAGACTATTTTCTCCGTAAATATTACATACCTCGTTTGATGTTTCAGTAGTACATTTCCCTTTTTGATAAAAGAAAACCATTAAGTGTCAGAAATGTACCTACTCTATTTTCTTCCATCTTCAAAACAGTATAACTCTGATAAGAAACTAACAATTGTAACGAATAGACTTTCAAAGGACACGTGAAAAAATAATCTTCCAGAATATACATATATTAACCTCATGTTTTCATCGAGTTTTACGTTCTGACGTATTCAAACAACTAACGTATCGAAAATTGACACGAACTTTCCGGACTCTCTCTCTCTCTCTCTCTATCTTTCGTTAAATTCAATAGTTTCAAAAGCTATATTATTCGTTTGAATGCAATGCTAAAGAAGTGGTTGAACAACAGGTACCATACAACATCACGGGTTGGCTGGAAAAGAACAAGGACCCGTTGAACGACACCGTAGTCGATCAATTCAAGAAATCCGCCAACAAACTGTTAATCGAGATCTTCGCTGACCATCCTGGACAGTCTGGTGATGCCGGTGGTGGCGGTGGCGGCAAAGGTGGACGTGGTAAGAAGGGTGGCGGTTTCTCAACGGTATCGTCCTCCTACAGGGAACAGTTGAACAACTTAATGACAACTTTGAGAGCCACCCAACCCCACTTCGTCCGTTGCATTATCCCCAACGAGATGAAGCAACCGGGTGTCATAGATTCTCATCTTGTCATGCATCAGCTGACTTGTAACGGTGTGCTTGAAGGCATCCGTATCTGTCGTAAAGGATTCCCCAACAGAATGGTGTATCCTGACTTCAAACTACGGTAAGAATTTGCATTCCTTTTTGCACATACATTCCAAAATTATTTCACGAGATTCGGAATTATTTGAAAACTTCAATTCCTTCGAATTGTCTTACCTTGATCGTTTCAAACGTTCTAAACATTACAGAATAGTAATAATAAACAGCAATGTGCAATTCGTTTATTCCAAATGTTGATAATTGCAAAGTGAAAAATTACAATTAAACATTTTGTTGCCTCTTCAAGTAGACGTATTAGATTCTTCGATAATTCCGAAACGTTTAATTTTATTATTTAGCACTCTTCGAACTTATTGTTAGTTTTACAGATTTGCAATAGTCCTTACGATTCCCCTTACATTTTACTTAGTTGCAACGTTCTACGTTAGGTATTAGTGTTATAATCGATTGACGCTCCGACAGACTGTTGAATAATTTGTCGAAACAAGCTTGTGAAAAGTACAGAAAAGAAACACAGACAAACATGGTTAACCGTGAAAACGAGAGTAGATGGAGAATTAGAGACGTTCGAATACAAATGATTTCATTATAAAATGATTCTTTTATATTGTGATCATACAGTTACATGATCTTAGCGCCGGCCGCGATGGCCGCTGAGTCGGACCCAAAGAAGTCCGCTCAAAGGTGTTTCGAAGAAATCGGCCTTGATCCAGACAGCTACAGGATTGGTCACACTAAGGCTAGTTGCACACCCCCGAAAGAACTTTTTCTTGGATTTTATGCCTTTCTTCGTGTCCATCGTAGAATATTATCGTCTTGTGCAGAAAAAGAACTTTAGTACAAAGATCCCCCCGTAACAAGTAGGATACTGCCCTGAAATCTCTCGTGCTGCTTCAACGATGATCCTTAAATGTTTCAAATTCGATCGTTCAATATTTTTAAGTTGTACTTATATATGTTACGTTTTATTTCATACGTATTATTTTTATTTCCATTCTTTCAGTTATTACTTAGTGCCTTAATATTACCTTTCGGTTGCAATTTCGTTTGGATCATATTTTCACTTCTTCGATTCGTTCAATTATAGTTCACGTTTCTTCGAATGATCGAACGTTGATCGAGCGTTTTCAGGCGTATTCAACTGAACCCGTGGAAATGTTCTGTACTCTTTTCACTGAACAACAAACC